ATATCAAAGTATTAGCAATGAATTAATGATTTCCACTAAGTTTATTATGCAACTATATGGCTCATAATTGCAGCTGGTTTTCTTTTTAATCTCGTAACTATGCAGAAGATGTAACAGTGATAAAAACGTTATCATGTATTTAATGCCAGGGCAATACTAGCCAGGTTATCATAAGCAAGACTCTTAGGATGTAAGTTGAGTAGGGATAAGCATGCAGAGTGACTAATATAGCAATCAGAAGAGCTCGGATCAATAAAATTCAGATGAAAAAAGATTGTTTTCCTAACTGCTGTGAGCCTGATTCTCCATAGTCTAGCATTTTTCATCTGTGTGAAATGCCAGTAAAGTGAATGGAGAATTCTGATCTGGCAGGATTCTACTTTTGGCTAATGCTCAGATGTGAATGACACAAACGATGGCATCAGATGCAAGCCTTTATATCTTTTATTTAAGTGTAGAAAGTAAATAATTGTAGAATGACTTGTTTATATCTTGCAAATAAGCATATTTACGGAGAGTTATTTTGTATTAATTACAGCATTTTATATTACGTCAGCTTATGCTGACGTAATATAAAATCAACAATATATATAAATTCAACAAGATGAAGACCTCTTCACGCTGCAAATTATATGCAGATATTTGAGCATCTGCATCATAGTACCTGGTATCTGGTATGATGTTACCTGATGATTGTAAAATAGTTTTACTGACTAAGCAACAGCTTCTCTTTGGAACATAAGCCTACTCATTTTAACCTCTAAGCGAGGTATAGTTAACTGATGACTTTATGGGGCATTGGCATTATTTGCTGTTTGCATTTACTGTACATTTTTATAATCCTGTACAATGCTGTTTCTCTATACATGGAAGTCACTAGGAAGCAAAAATGCACGACATCTTGCAGAACTTAGCCTATAATTTTATGCTCCACAATGAGACATACCTACAATAATCTGACAAAATGAAAGCAACACGTGTCATATCAGCTCCAAATAAATATCCTGTCTCCTCTATAGCAGCTGCATCGAAAGACATCTGACATAATGGTGTTATATCAGCAGAGCTACTAATCTCAGATACTAGTGATTTCAGTACCGAGGGATAGAACGCTGTAGCAAATGGAGGTCACGCAATATCCTCTAGCACTTCGGACAAACGTGGCATTTTGGACTGTCCCCACTAATGGCAGAATACAGTGCTGATACTAACACTGGTGTTGCAGAGCTGCTTGTGCAGGTAACCTGCTCCTAACAGCAAAGTGTCTCTTCAGATGGGCCTGTTTATTTTGGTGCCTTGCAGAAGCAATGATATTTCTTGGAATCAAAAGGCATACTCTAGCTTTTAGCGGTAAAAGCAGAAGTCTCTGACGTATCAGAAATGAATTTTTTTTTTTTATATATATTTAACCCTCTTTAGGAATACAGAATTTCTTTCTAGAACTTTTGCCTCCTCAGTATCTTATGTGACAGGTCATGCCAAAAAAAGGAGCTGCCATGGAGGAGCTGCAGTGTTCTGGTAGGAACATAGGAGTATCAGAATCCCAAAGCAAGCACGCATGTCTCTATAGTCCTCAAGAGGGAGAATAGCAATGAGAGTTACAGTAGTTTTGCTTTAACTGAAATAAGAAGGATGCTAAGAGAATTTTTCTATTTTCAGTGTCACGAGGTGGCACATATGAAGAATCCTTTTCCTTGGCAACAATTCCTCAGCCATAAGTTTGAACCTGTTTACCCAGGCACAGTGCCATTCTGTCAGATGGGCATTGATACACCGATTGTAGAGGCCCTGCGTTGTATGTGCATCAGGTGTAAGTGTCCCAAATGGGATTCCCAGCAAGGATTGTCCATATGTCTGTTCATTCTAATTTTGTATTCCCTTGTTCCATTACTAATCCAGGCATGGGTCTGATTATGTTTCAAAAATAGAGAACAGCTTTTTTCTCTTCTAATAAGACCTCTTGCCCACTTGTGTAATACAGATTGGAAGAATGGTTTAGAAGTTTTTGGATGACAAACTTTCCTCCCTGGCCTTACCAGACCCCCTCCTTCTGTATTCAGAGAAATGAGAGCTTTATAAATCTTCCTAAGCAAAGTCCCTGTAGGATCCATCAGAGTAAATCTTTGGCACCAAGCTAGATTTCATATGCACAGCAGAGTGGAAATCTGTGTTCAGTCACTCTCTGCACTATTTTGCAGGATGTTTTGCCTGAGCTGGTATAAAACATTGAGGTTTCAGGGTTCAAGGAAAAGCGTGGCACTGGGGATTGTCTCCCTAGCTGCTCGCTCTCTCTGCCTTTCCTCTTGATTTCCTCAGTGGCCTCAGTTTTCTGTAAATCAGCAGGACTCTCAGCATTGCTCCTACCCTATCTTAGGTATTTTACATGGCTATCGTACAACAACCTATTTTGCTTATCGTACTCCTTTTTATGTGTTTCATTTTCATGTGTATTGAAGAGATAAGGATCTGATACCTGTGGAATGTGCAGAGTGATGCCGGGTCATGCTCTTCACTGATAGCTGAAGCAATTGCACAGGCATCCAATTATTTAGTGCAAAGCTTTGATAATCTAATTTTCTTGCTCATCTCATGCAGTCTGTTCCATACTAATGGAGCAGATTTGAAAAAAAACATGACAAAAATCTTAGTTTTCCTGATATTCCTTTTGGAATTAGCTTTACTAAGTGTTGGGGCAACACACTGAAGCAGAGCTGCAGAGCTGGCCTCTTTTGATTTTGGTTTAATTTAAACTCTGAATAATGGATTATATTTTCCTTCTGGACCTGGCATATATCATTTAGATTGGCCACTGAGTGGGCAAAAGCAACACATTTTTCAATTGTATATGTTTCTGTGAATGCTGACAGTAAGCAGTTGCATTTGCAAATACCCATCCTCCCTGAAGTCGTCTTAACTTGCCTCTATCTCCATACATACTTTTTTCACCCACTTTTAAAATGCAGTTGCCTCTGATTGGCTGAACCAGCTTTAGCTGTGTATATTACTGCAAGATGCACTTTAATGCAATGTAATTTTCTGGGAAACTGTAAGTAGCAGAATGATTGCTATGCTTTGTTAGGACTCACTTATTAGTATCCTCTCCTATTACTGAAGCATTGTGAAATCTTTAAAGACTTTCGTTAAGTCTCAACCAGTGTTGAGATCCAAAAAATTGCAGTTGAGACTAGATATGAATATTTTGCTGCTCAGATATTTTGATTTTGGGTTGGGATTTGCCATTTTCCAAACGTTTGTAAAGTACAGTCCAGCACAACAAATCTATACACAGTTTGAGTTCTCTAGGCAATTATATAAAAGCTAAAATAATGAAGATAATGTCATCTGCAAACTGTAAAGAGTGGAATAGTCCTTTCAGTTTAACGTGTCACCATTCAGTTAATGGAACGAGCATCAGTACTGCAAGAAGAAATCTGCATCCGCACATACCCCATTCCACTAGTGTGTCTGGATTTCTGGTAAAGCAGAGTGTTGGTCCTTCTGTCAGTATGTTTAATTAACTTCAGCTTTACTTTTGTTTCTGCAATCTACAGTCAGTTAAATCATAAATATTGTTTTGTAACTGATAGAACAGTATGTAATGGTCCTCATCTTGTATCCTTTTTAGTCTGAATGTCACATCGTCTTTGTAATTTTTAATGACAACAACAATTTTTATTATATTGCTGGAACTTTTCCCGGGGTAATTGTGTCTTTTGTATATAATATGTGATCTAGAAATGAAGCTGCAGCAGAAAGCTGCTAAATCCAGCATCTTCTGTAGCTGCGTACTTATGTTAAAAAATTCTTGGACCGAGTACAAGAGGTTGAAAGTATCTTATAAAACAAAACCAACCAAGGTAGCTGAACTTTCTGTAGCTCAGTGACTGTTGCTCTAAATATGAAAATATCAAGCAAAATACAAGTGAGGGCAGAACATATTTGCATATCAGCTTTGATCTGCTATCTTATGGAAATCAACTGCATGTTTGTCTTGCTGTGTGTCTGTATGCCCTTTGAAAGTGTTTCCAGTTAACCAAGATTTTACATTTTGACCACAAAGTTTTCTCCAGTTCTGATTTCATTCAAGACCAAGAGAAGAAATGACCTTACGAGTAGCAAACTGACTGACCAAGACCTTTCTGCTCTTGGCTTTTCAGGAATTTGGAGAAGTCATTTAAGCGACAGTCTCATCAGGGGCAAGCCTTATGCAAAGCTCAGACTTTTATTGTTACAGCCTTCAGAATATCGGTCAAAGAAACCTTTCATTGTGTAACTGCACTGTGCTATCAAATGCAACTGTAATAGAGTTGCATGTCACATATACGTAACAGAAGCAAGTATCTTGCCTAGCTATCAGGATGACTGTGGTGGGGAATAAGTAGTGGGTGCTACATTGGAGACAGAGAAGATAGCAGAAAAAACTTATATTCCTGCCTCAGCATTATAGCATAAGCCAGTATTTGTGAAGCTATGGGCTATGCATTTCTGTTCCAGTTTTGGAACTCAGAGCACATGGGATGAGAGGAGAAGCAATTGTAGACACAGCTATTGCCTGTGGTTCACTCTGTCACTCCTTCCCAAAGTGAGAGATTATTGGAGAACTTGGGAAAGGAAGGGGAGAAACTGCTTTTTGGTCCACCAACTTGGACTCAGATATTGACTAGCACACTCTTTTTCTCTGCATTTTTATCCCATACTGAATGGGTGGCACAAAAACCATCAATAGTGCTACAGATCCTAATTTTCTACCTGAATTTTTAAGTTTGGTGATCAGTTCTTCAGAAGCTGAGTATGTTTTGCTATATGAGAAACAGGGACAAGGTCCTCTAAGATACAGATGCTTAGCTAATTCAATAAATCGAATAAACATCACTTGGGAACTTGAGTAATTGCTCTTCTGTAGAAGATGATACCCTGTTTAGAGTTTCCAGAGTTTATGTAATTAAATATTTCCTATGCCTTGCCGTAATTTTATGGTTTCTTTGATTATTTCTTTCTAGCTCAACAAAATTCACCAAAAATCCATGAAGGCTGGTGGGCTTATAAGGAGGTGGTCCAGGGAAGCTTTGTTCCAGGTAAGTGTAATTTAAAAATCTTCATTTTTATTAAATATTTTTTCACTGGAATTAATATAGTTGGGTTTGGGGGAGATTTTTTGGGTTTGTTTTTTTTATCCATTGCAAAGATTTGAAGTACAGAAGTACCCAGCATCACATTATAGTGAAGTGTAGAAAGGTTTTTGTCAATACATGGTCCAAAAACCACAGCTGTTTTCCAGGAAAGAAGTCACTTTGATGACATTCCTGGTTTCTGTCAGTAAAACTAACATGATGCTACTTTGTGAATGTGTGTGTTCTGTGTATAGAAAAGAGAAAGGGAAGACTGAAAAGCAGTATTGTGAAATGGATGAATTTACTTTTGATGCAGCACTTCTAGACAATCCCATTTCTACAAATTTAAGAGTATATTAGGAAAGGAACCTAATTGAAACATGAACTTAGCATGCAGGTTTCACTGATTTTTGTATTGGAAACAAGAAACAATGAGTGAAAAAAGATGAAATCCTAACTTGGCTTCAAGTAAGATTTAGTAGATAGTAAATAATCAGTAGGCAGCTAAAAGGATCTAAATAAGCAACACCAGCTGAATTTGATAGGCAAAAGTGAAATTCAGGCTAACAATAGCCTGGCATTGGTCAGTATTGGTAGAACTCCTCCAAAACATGTGTATTGTTTGTCCTAATTCTATAGACTCCTTAAGTATGGTGTGGTCTGAGTAGGCCTTAGCTTGTTCTTTTTAGCTCTGGATCTAACACATTTCAGGATTCAAGCTGCCTGAGACACTAGTAGTTCTTAGACTGACAATTTATTTTGGTTTTGACCTACATTTGACACCTGCTCTTTTTGTGCTCCCCTTCTGTAAATTATTTTATTTTTTCTTTCAAACAGATTTACTTTGTTGGGTCTTCACTGTTCCATTTGACTGGATGTTTCCACTTACAATAGGAGTCAGGAAACTTTAGCAACCTGCACTTTCTGTTCAGTTGTGGAGCTAATTTGAGAGTACATTCCTCATTCAGTACACACAGAAACATTCAGTGATTATTTTGTTCAGTATGTTTTCAGTGCAATTGAGATGAGTATGCATTAATTTATGTATATTAGCTATATATTATAAGCTAAAATAGTGCTTCAAGTTCTCTCATGAATGCACCATGAAATTTGCTACATGATCTTTATTTCCACAAAGTACTAGAAAATATTACTTGGCCATTGTGTGATCTGTTCCTAAGAATATGTAGATTTGATCTATCATCAGATATTTTCATTGCTGTGACAACAATTACACTCTGACAGTCATTCAAAATATCAAAAATTATGATTATCTTGTCAGGAATACTAGTGCAAATGAGATTAAACATTTCAACCCACAAGTTTCTGGCACTGAAATTCTTGTGAAAAGCACATATGAAAAAAAACATCTACAAGCCCGGAGCTTAACTGTAAGAAATTTGGGCCTGGGAACATCCTTAAAAGATTAATGAGGACACAGTCATGACTCAAACTTTCAAGAAAGAAGACCTTTTAGACTAGTGTGGCGAGCCACCTCCGTTCTGAGAGAACCCTGAATTACCCATACATGTTGAATATCGGACTAACCTAGCACACATCCTCAAGAATTGGTCCAGAAGGACAATTTTGAACAGCTTGCTGAAGTGGCCATGCAGAAAGCAAGGGTAATTTGGGGGCACCTTTCTTGCAGACTGTCATGTTTCTTTCAGATTCAACTCTGCAACCTGTAAGCCTCAGCAGAAGAGAGAAATCCCATGAATTTTTACAGAACGAACAACTATTTTTCAGCAGCACCTAGATTTTGGAGTCTTTGAAAACCATATTTAAAGCATTTCAAGGATGCATTTTATGGTTATGATCACAGACTAACACATCACAAAGGATATGTTAGTGCATATTAAGTTTATCCATAATGTTAGCAGTCACATATCAGATCTTGCATGAGATGCTAATTAGCACCTGAGAGGTGATAGCTGCGAGGCAGTCTGAGGAACTGTAGCTGAAGTTGCTGACTTATGTGCACTGAAGCAAACAGCTATAGCCATCTGCTAAGATGTTTCCTTTCCACAGCTGTTTGTCCTGTCCCAGGGCTGGAAGTTAACACCCCCAAAGATATTAGAAAGGAATATTTGTCCAAGACTGTCACTGCAGTTCAAAACTGGCATCTCAGCTAATATGATTGACATAAATATGGCTCTTTAGCTGCCTGGGGGAGCAACCACAGGCATAGAGATGACTACTTGGGGTATTAGCATTGTAAAACACTCCAGGATGAGTTGCTAGAATTTGTCTGTCACAGCTTTGGCTGTGTGAATACTTTTTGCTTACTTCAAAGCAAAGTCACTGTCTTTCTTTGAACTGTTACTTCTTCTTTCATGTATAGTTGTGTAAGAATGCATTTAGGAGTGTATCACAATATGCCTAGGTTAGACTACGCCATTCATAAGTTTTTGCACTTAATACTATGTTTTGGATGCATTTAAGTCAAGTCCTAACAAATGCTCTGGATCCTGCGCAAATTTGTCTTTCAGCAGTTCATAAAATCAAAGCATACTTCACTACATTCCCCAAATCCCAGACTCCTTATATTCTGGGATAGATTTTAGAAAAAATATTTTAAATCCCTTTCTAATGTAATATGTTCATCTGGACACATTTTTTTCCCCCAGATTCTGGGATTCACAACTTAAATCACATGTTGTAAACCAGTGGTTTACAGTCACTGATGTGTATCTCACAGGTAGGAGAGGATATAGGCAGCGATGAGGTGCAAGACCCATCACACTGTCTTTCTCAACTTCACTTCTTGCACTGCTCAACAGAGAAGAGAGCAATGGTGACTGACAGGTTCTCTCACTACAGTAACTGTGGCTCAGGTGTTTCTTAGTGCTAAGCCTTGCAAGTGCGGGAGCAGAGTTGTCAAGTGCAGGAAGGAAGGTGCATCAGTGGCTGGACGTGTGTGTATACTAGTGATGCATAAAACACTCCCATCTCTCACCTTTTCTAAAAGCAAAGAGTTGCTCTTATGATTTAAATCATGTAGGCAAACAAAACAGAAAGTAAGTAGTGCTTTAAAATGTGAACTGAATGCAAATTAGGTTCCAAATTAAACTTCAGGGAATGTTCAAGGATGAAGAACGAATACTTTTCTTTATGCATGGTGATTTGCATAACAATCAAATAATCTGTATTATTACCTACTTTCCCTACATAGACTTTTTCTGGTGTGGAATATCAAAGTAGTTCATGATGGGTTAAAATACATTTCAATAACCTTTTTTATATCTTTTATTTGGCTGAGTTTTGCTGTCACTATGAATATGTTGTGTCACTGAGGTAGCGCAAGTATTTTCAGGGTGGCAAAGGCAATAATATTTCAAACTATTTTGTAACATTCCTTTTACTTCAAATAGATGCACATAACCTTTGCTACTCTTGTGTGTCTGATTGTATTGATTGTCTTCCTAATGCTCCTGTTTTTTTTATAACGTCATAAAACTGGGCTTTGGTAAGCATAAAATATAAAGGTGGTTAAATCTAATTTGTGATCACGGAACTCACTTACCAAAACTCCATCCTGTTACTGAAACTTTGGACTACATGTTAATATGAGGGTGTAAGTGTTTCTTGCCCTGGGAATACACTGTCTTCATGACCCTTACCGAATTATACCAAGTCTAAAGTTACTTTAGAGGGTGATAGTACTAATCTTCTAAGAGGACGAGGTCCATCTCTACCAAATAATGAGTGAACTTTGCTGAAGGAGCAGATAGTGTTCTTCTTCTTCCTTATAATAAAGGTTGTAAACCAACTTTAATTCCGGATAAAGATCTATATCCACTGTCATTCATTGTTGGCTACAGATCATCAAATCAAAGGCTACCCATTTCCCTGAGATTCTGCAATGAGAAATACCCTGTTCATAGTTCCTTTCACAACTCATTTTACTATAAAAGGGAAGAGACTGCTAGAGATTGATAATGCTGCTCCTACCTTTTGCGAGGATTGTGTTGATGGGATTACGCCCTAACATAGACCAGCTGGCAAAGCAGCACTGGCTCAAAAGGAACACAGGGGCAGTGTTTGAGAAGCACTGAGAAACTCCCTCCAAGGAGGAAATGCATTAATTTGGTAATGATTTACAAGGAAAAAGAAGCCGGAAACAATTGACAATCTTGTTCCTGAGTGCCAAAACCTGATTTTAAACTTCTTGCTATCACCATGTGCTTTTGTTATGGTCCACACAGGCAGTTGAATTATCCCTACTTTCTCCTCTGTGGGCTTTAAGATTTGTTTTTGTAACAGCTTTAAGATTTCTTTTAAACTAAAATTTCCTTGTGTACACATCCAAAAATAACCTGTGACAGGCAGGTCACTGTAAGGACTATGAACTGTTTGTCCATGGCCTGAAACGGAGAGATATGAAACTTCAAACACATCTTAAACTTCCTGAAAAGCTCTTGTATTATGCCATCCCTCCAATCACATAGGAGTCTATTTCATACATTGAGACTGGTGATCACTTAGTTTGGCTGCCTAAATAATACAAAACATAAACCTGCTGATTGCTACTCCTGCATTGCTCCCTTTTGTACTAACTATAACATTTCTTCTAGTCTTATTCTGGGACTTCAGGAGGCTGCAGCATCACTCACCGTCTAGTGCATTTTGCTTGTCAGTGAAAACAGTGGTGCTGTCTGAGCTACAGTAGTATTTTAAACAGTCTGCACACACTCTTCAAAATCATTCAGTCTGGTGCCGACTCTGAAGAATTAACCAGCCATATATAATTATTTATTGGAACAATAATAGCAGTTTTTCTTTCAGAAAGCAATATATTGGAACACTTCATTTCTTCAGGGTGATAGAGCATAGATTCTGGAAATCATTCACTTATTGATTGGAACTTAGGTTAGTATGTATAATATTTCAGCTTTGGTTGTCAGTTAAAGATAGCTTGAAGGAAATATATTTTGTACCAAGTATTTTCTTGGTTTCTTACT